CTTCAAAGACCTACAAGAATGCAAATTACCAGCTGTCTGCAAGGAATATAAATCCTTCCATTCTACACTATCCTGTGAGAGCTGAAGAAGCTTCTTGGATGAAAAGGAAAATGTCTTCAAAAGAAAAAACAAGAAAGTCCAGTTGCCTCCTAAAAAGCACCTTTGTGACAACCATGACCTGGATGACTGAGAATCTCTACAGGTCTTGAGTTCTTTCCTCAGTCTCTAAGAGCTATTTATTTAATTGTGGGTATTCATTGCAGTATCATTTATCCCCATATGGATTTACACAAATATGTAATTTTCAGGAGACTCAAGGGTTTGTTTTGTTACATCTTTGATCCTTGTTCCATAGAAGCACACTTCATAAGATTATAGGTCTGGTCAGCACATATTTGTTCTGATTTGTTTTAAAGGTGAACAACCAACTACTACAACTTTTCTTTGTCTGCTCATAGCCAACAGCTGTATTTTCTCTGCCCTTTAGAGAATCACAATCCTGTGTCTTGTTCTAGAGTGTCTCTTTTCCTTCCCTGAAGGCTCAGCAGCTGTTTCTCATGCAAGGGTCTAAATCTTTCCTAATTTCCACTGGGACAGAGCATTTTTCAAAAACCTTGATGAAATCTTTTAAATATCACTGAAAATTACATGGAATCCCCATTTATCTACTTAGGAAAAATTAAAATCTAAAATGCTGGTTAGACTAAAATGCTGGTTAGAAATTGGTTTCTTACAGAAATATCACAATATAAATGCTTGCTGTGAATAATGCATATAAATGATTATTTTTTTACAAATTTGCAAATGATTATGTATATGGAGGTCTTTATTAGTGCCATATGTATCTACATGGTATTTCGGGAAATACCCTAAAGTATCTATTGATTATTTGAGATTGCAACTTATTCAGTGTCCTTGCTGATAACTACATCCAGGAAACACGTAATATAAAAGAAAATATATTTGGAGGTCCAGATCCTGTAGTTTCTCTCTTTTTAATGTATAAGATTGAACTGTTACAAATCAGCCTAAAAAACAAAATCCAACTTAACAATTTAACCTATATTAAAATAAGAGGCAGAGTCTGCAAATGATCAATTATTTATTTGATGTGAAAATCAATTAGGTTGCTTAAGTTTTCTGAACTAAAAATTGAGACATAAAAATTATACCAAGATAATATGTAAACAGAGCTGTCAGTGATGAAATAGCATTATAATTTTTAAAATTAAATACAAGATGTTACAAGCAGGCTTTGTTCTGATGCTTTTCTTAGAAATATATCAGTTCATCTGTAATTTCTCTTGCCAGCAGAAGCAAGTGAACATAACATTACAATAAACATTAAGTTTTTAGATTTACATGGTGCCTGAATTTGAAATTTGAAAGGCTGGTGTTGCCCTCTGCTGGATTATTGTATGTTTTTTAAAATGCAAGTTTACTGGAGAAAAATTATCTAGAAAACACGTGGTTGCTCATGTAACATGTATGAGCAATTTCTTATGTCTACATATTTTTATGGGTATGACTGGCAATGTTTGATTTAAGGAGGTGCCTACAGGTGCAATATATTCTTCCTACAAATATCTACCATTATAAACAATATGTAATTTATGAAGGAAATTTAAGTTGAAGAGGCTTTTAAGTGGTGGTACCTCAGCACCAGAATATTCTCCTCAAACAGACTGATCTGATATCATATATTATGGCATTTTGAGTACTAGTTATTATTTTATTTTCCTAGGTATTGCAGTCCTATTTGTTATACCATATAGTTCTGGTATATGATTTTTTTCCCTTAAATTATCCAGAGAGCTTTTGCTATTTAAAAGTATGTAAACACTATAACTTGCAAGGCCTCTGATGTATTATTCAGCTGGCAGATAATGGCCTACTGGAGCAAGGGGGTTTGGAAAGGTTGGGTATTATTTGAGTATCTAGTTCAGGCTATTTTATCAATAAGAAATGTATTCAGAGGCAATTCAGATTTAAAGTATATTTATCTGGTTCAACATAATTTCAGATTGCCCTAAAGGTTCTTTTCCAAAAGGCAGCTGGAATTTCTTGGTTTTTTTCCTAGAAAATATTTCGCTCCTCATCAGAACTGAAGAAGCTTCTTGGATGAAAGGAGAAATATTTTCAAGAAAAAAGCAAGGAAGTCCAGATGTCTTTTAGAAAAGCATGACCTGGATGATTGAGAATTTCTATAGACATCATTTCAAATTTCACAAAAGATTATTTCAGTCTATAATCCTGACGGACTTGGATCGTAGAGAACCATTATTTAGAAATACAAAGAAATTTCCATCTTGTTAGAATATGCATCAGTGAAAATTTTGCCCCTCCCTCATGAATTTACAATAACTGATAATTAACCTTTTTTTGTTCCAGTACTGTCTTCAGTCAAGTCCCTGCAAAGTGACCCTAAAACTATCCTGCTTCTTGGTGAATCAGAGAAAATGGAAATAAATATTGTATAAATTGCATATGGAGTATGTTATTAGCAGAAAATCTTAAAATAACATCACGGTTATTTACTTTTACAATTAAATGAATGCAATAGTTTGCAAAGAAACAGGAAAACAATTGGGACTATCAAATTTGCAGATGACACTAAGCTAGCAGGAACAGCCAACACTCTGGATGATAGGCTTAAGATACAGAAGGATCTTGACAGACTTGAACATTAGGTCTATCTAACAAAATGAAATTCAATGGTGAAAAAAGTAAGGTGAGTCTCCATTTAGGCAAGAAAAACGAAATGTACAGGTACAGTATATGTGGTACCTTGCTCAATAGTGGTGACTGTGAGAGGGCTCTTGGAGTCCTAGTGGACAATCACTTAAATATGAGCCAGCAATATGCTGTAGCTGTCAAAAAAGCCAACACAGTTCTAGGTTGCATAAACAGAGGGATAGAATCAAGATGACGTCAAGTGTTAATATCATTTTACAATGCCTTGGTAAGGCCACACTTGGAATACTGCATCCAATTTTGGTTACTATGATGTAAAAAAGATGTTTAGACTCTACAAACAGTACAGAGAAGAGCAACAAAGATGATTAGGGGACTGGAGACTAAAACATATAAAGAACGGTTGCTGGAACTGTATATGTCTAGTCTTATGAAAAGAAGGACTAGGGTGACATGATAGCAGTGTTCCGATATCTCAGAGGCTGCCACAAAGTAGAGGGAGTCAAACTACTCTCCAAAGCACCTGAGGGTAGAACAAGAAGCAATGGGTGGAAACTAATCAAGGAGAGAAGCAATTTAAAACTAAAAATTTCCTGACAGAACAATTAATCAGTGGAACAACTTGCCTCCAGAAGTTGTAAATGCTCCAAAACTGGAAGTTTTTAAGAAGAGATTAGATAACCATTTGTCTGAAGTGGTGTAGGGTTTCCTGCCTAAGCAGGGGGTTGGACTATAAGATCTCCAAGGTCCCTTCCAATTGTGTTATTCTAAACCTTGTATCCAATCTTAGTCAACATAATTGTTAGAAAACAAAATGCCAGTTTGCATAAATAAATTATTTTAGATTTTGATGACAGGGAACATTTTTCACAAATATAGAAAATTGTATGCAAGAATTACAAAGGTAAGGAATGAAATTGATAAATTTACATTCAACTTTTCAGAAATGGGAAAAAATATTTGGAGAATGTCAAAACCTTTGATGTATTTCTCTTTGACTACAGAGTTGAAATTTACTGTCAGTTGTGCACACAAACTGAAGAATACCACTGTTGCTGAAAATATGCATTGTAACAAAAGTACCTGAAGTTTTGTATTAATTATGCAGTACAGTTTTTTTTACCAGAATAGTAAGATTATTTATTTATATTTAATATTTCATAACTGCCCATTTTCCTGTTTATAAAATCAGTGTACTGTCTTTTCAAAATTTTGTAACAATAGCATGATGAAGTATACAAATAATAATGAAATACAGCTCCAGGACTCACGTCTATGCTTTATCAATTGAGTGTGTATGAGGTTATTATTTTAAAGCACAGAGATAGATGAAAGCAAAAGCTTAATTTGTTTAACTCTTTATATTACACATAGAACTAGAAAAACAATTTTTGGCAATTTTAGGGTACAGTACAGCCCATCTGTTCCAAGTCCTGAATGCATGTCTAAATACTAGATGAAATTACTGAAACCTCAGCCACCACCCTGGAATTCCATTAGATGCCTGGGGCAGACCAGTAAGATCTATTTCATGAGTGGTATGGCACCAGATCTTCTTTATCAAGTTATGACACGATAGAATAATAATAAAACATTTAGAAATCTAGAGGTCACTTTATAGTAAGCAAGGAGTTTTTTGACAATGGCAAAGCATAATATCAATGTTACAAAGTTATAGATCACGTTGGCTGCCTCAAGATTTAAAAAAAATCATCTAAAGTGAGCAATGTGTTGAGCCCTTATATCAGGAATACATCCATGGCTCTCATAATCATTAAGAATTCCTGAGCTGTCTCCAACTTTTCTCCCGTAGAAGGAAAATTAAGTCCCCAGAAACTCCAACACCAACTACAGATTTTCTGAATGTTTTACCATGATACTACTAACAGTTGTGAGAGGTTAATTGAAAAATTAATTCATTGACTTGTTCAGTTACAGAATTAACAATAGGCAGGCAGTTCTAGTCTAGGGTACCACAATTGGGACTCGGTTGTTAAACGAAGTGTCACTAAATGAAATTGCAGCTATGCTTATGATGTTTATTCAGCTTTTTTTTTCTTTACAGACCCATGACAGTTGTAAATGCAAAGATTGATCTGAACGTATTTTTTCATCATTATTGTAACTGTAAACAGTTACTACATAAGATAGTTACTATCAGTACATTCTATCAATATACACATAAAACATAAAAAATCATATTTTGAGCATAGTGTTGAACTGTAGAAAAATGAGATTATATTCCATGTTACTGAAAAATAGCAATGGAATTAGATATATTATTATTATTATTATTATTATTATTATTATTATTATTATTATTATTATTGAAAAACAGTGCCATCTATGAGAAAAATCCTTGGGTGCCTGATAATGAACGAGGCATGCTCTGGAATGCCCAATGCAAAATCCCATCAAATGTATTCTGGAAGATTATAGAGAAAATAAAATAATCAGAATCTGAATATAGAAAGAAGATAATTCATAGGAATAGGTTACACATTAAAGGCAAACATAAAACTATTTTTATACTTAAAAAAAACAAATTCACTTGTTCCTGGGAAGGGTAAACCACATCTAATTCTGATCTACCGTTTTTCCCACAAATTTGCAAATCATTTTGTGGCTGAATTTGTTAAACTAGTGCGTCAAATGCTGACTATTACCAAGAATGATTTTATTTTTGCTGAAGTCTACAGATGTATTATAAATTCCACATTAGATATTTTACAGAGCCAAATAAATAAACCGACATCATTATTTACTTGATTTACCTCCCCTAAGAGTGAATCCAGATCATCTTTGTTCAATGCAGGTTCAGTTCCAGCAGAATCTTCTACCACCTAGGATTCAAAATATTTCCTTACTATGTAACCGTATACATATCTATTCAGAAGTATCTATTCCACGTGTTCAATAGGATTTGTTCTCATGCTAAATACAGGTTTAATGGCCATTTCAAAGTTATGACATGACAAAAAAATGACAAAAAAAATGACTTATGAAATTTTCAATATTTACATATTTACAACCACTGCAATGTCCCTATGGTATTGCGATTGCCATTTGCGACCTTCCCAGGTAACTCCAAAAAGTAAAGTCAATGGGGAAGCCTATAGATTGCAAATCATGATCATATAAATTTTGTACAACATAACTATGGTAAAAGGAAAACACCAGCCTTATGCATGAGAGTTTAAAAGTCAGGTATGAATAAATTATTCTATCTTCATATTCCTTTAGTGGGTCCTGCATTTTTCTGCTGATACCTGCTCCTTGCCTTCCCGCAGAAAGGGATCAATGCAATAATCATCAGAAGTCTTCTTTGGGTTCAGTCTTAGAGGAACGTGGATATAAAATTTTTAGTATGCTGAGGTTGTTGAGCTTTGGAAGTGAAAATGATTCTATAAGCTTGAGGCAGAAGCTATTTGAGACACTTTTCAAAAATATAAGCTGCAGGAGTGGATTAACAGATAACCAAGTAAAAGTTGTAGGTTTGTGTCATAGTTAAACATATGGAGACCACCATACCTGTCTTTTTCTTCAAATTTCTCTTCAAAATTCACTTCTGGAATAAATCCTTTGATTTGACACATTCATTTATATTTATAAACTTTACCTGTTGGGTCATCTTCATATATATTTGTGAGTGCAGAAAGTCTGGCAGAGATTCTGTGGTTGCAGGAGACTTAGGTTGCAGGAGACTTACCTGAGCAATTTGAGACATTCTTCTGCAAGGTTCCCTATTGACTTTCTCCCCTACAAGCTTTTAAGGAAGGATGTGATTCCCAACTGACTTTTTCTCTGAAAGCTTCCCAGGCTTCCCAATTGGCTTGTGGGCAGGTGTCAGGGAAGTTGTAAATTAGGATCACATGACGGCAGCAGTGAACAATAGCAGGGTTGAAACAGCAAGAACTTTCTAAAATTTCATTCCAACAGAAGCAATGGGTGCCAGCATTCAGTAATTTAGCCCATTTGCAGTACTTTAGTTGAAAATGGTTTGCCCTGTGTTGTATTGTTTCACAGTTAAAGCTTACAGATACAAACTTTTAGTAGTATCATCAACTTTGCAAATGGAACTATATTTACTTGCAGATTTCTTCCTACCTTATCTCTACAATCTGATAGTTGTTGATTTAAGTTTGTAAACTTAGTGGAGCAGTAATATTGGTTTATTTTGTCTAAGAAACCGGAGTATGTTCAGCATACTGATATTAAGACTAATTAAAAAAAATCTACAGTTGTAGCACAGAGAAGTTATGCCTATTCAGAACTTTTTGGATAACTCCCATTAATCTCAGATAACAAGGTATTAACCAATGATAGGAATTGCATCTCACATCTGAAGCATGAAAAGTCATGAAGGCCATCTGTGTATATACCAGATTTCTTTAATCCACTGGGTACAATAAGGCTGAAAAAAATATGGAAAATCTGACCTTTACTGCTCGTAGTGTTTGAGCATTGGAATGTGAGTCTCCTTCCAAGCTGATAACTGTAGAGTTGTCAAAACAGGACTTACATATCAGGATTCCACTAGAATACAATTTAAAAACAATCTTAAGCATTCCCTCAAAGTATAAGACTTGATTTCAGATTCCATGGTTGCTAAACTGGGTAGAGCTATGTTAGACTACTAGTAGATTCTCAAATGATTTAGTGTCTTTTTTTCCTCACATAAATCTTTTATCTAATCAAACAGCAGCATAAACATTTGCAGTAGAGCCTTCCACCTTATCATTTTGTCTCTGATATTCAGGAAGATTTAGAGTGATGGTGATATGGTGGATCATTCAGCTTTGTGATTTTGCACCTGTACAGAACCCACTGCAAAAGGTGAAGATTAAAGTTTTGCCTTAGCTAAAACTTTAAAATGGCCTTGGAAAAAATTAGGAACAAATATGCCTCTAGGTGCCATATCAGTCACATTAATTTAGTGCACCTGACATCAATATTTGTCAGGTCTCCATTCTCCGCCTGCTCACTTTCCATGGTAACAGCTGGGGCCTTTTTTCACAGGAGTTTTGCACTAGGCTAGATGCCAAGGCTTGACAAATATAAGAGATAAATAAAGATTTATTTTTCAGCACAATTAATACCTGATTTCATCTGTATGGGCAGGAAAATGGCAGCGCCAGTGGAAAGCCCTGAAACATTTATTGCAGTAGACCACATCTCCTCCTTTCCAGCATATACCGCATTTATCACCAATGGTTAATTTCTGAAAAAATACAATTTAAAGTAATTTTCTAGCAAAAAGTGGTCCTTTTTGGCCTTCTTGAGAATAATTTTGTACTTTACATAACATCTCTCTTCTATCTAGAAATTGCCTGGACTGGTTCCTGTATTTTTTCAGAAGCATTTTGCCATTGCATCTTCCTAGGGCTGAGAGAGAGTGGCTGGCCTAAGATCACCTGGCTGGCTTTGTGCCTAAGTTGGCATTAGAACTTACTGTCTCTCAGTTTCTAGCCTGGAGTCTTAATCATTACACCAAACTGGCTCTTGTATTCTATTTATTCAAATTTACTTAATATTGAGAAACATAATTCTAGCATTTACTTAAATTAGTTTTAATTAAATTTAAACTGAAACAGTTTCAGAGTTAGTTTTGGATTTGTCCCATTCTTGCTCCTAGCCCATTTATCTCTTGGAGTGTGATCTTTAGTCTCCCAAAGCCAAAAACATATCCCTGCTTTAAACTTTTATCTTAACATACAGCTCTTCCGATGAAAGCAGCTAAGTCAAACACATGGCAACAAATTGTTTTACCCACACATGATTTGAAATGGCCTCACCCACTGAAATGTGAAAAATCCACAGAAAGACAATCTACTGACCAGTTGTTTCTCTGTTCCAGCATTCTGTACTGCGGATGGAGCTGCCACAGACATTGAGAGCAAAGATGGCAGGGGTTGCCTGAAGGAGGCACACAGAGGTTCTTTGATAAGAACTCTCCTCCCATCTTCAGTTGTTCTCTGGACATAAACAGCACCCTTAGGAGATAGGAAAATTAAATAACATTCCAGTCCTTATTCAGCAGGAAAACATTTGCACATAGAAGGGAATACAAACTGTGCAAATTATTTCAGATCTGTCATATGCTGGTCTCAAAATGTTCTTAAAGTGACAGAAGTTCTTTAATTACATTATACACCAAATATCTATGCATAGCTTTAACAAAATTCATTCTCTGTTTTCATTTTACAGAATGAAAACTAGAACCGTGATACAGGAGCAAATGAACAGTCAACCACTGGAAAAAACAGCAGATTTTAAAACTACTTAGATATGGCAGCCTTCTCCAAACTAATATGCTTCTGATATCTGGCATGATAGCTCCTATCATCTCCGGACAGAATGACCATCTGACCTGGAAAGTAAAAAATTACAGTTATACCTGACTTTGAGTAAAAGACTCTCTATTCTTCTCCTCTTCAGTGCCCTTGTCCTCTTTGGCCTTCCCAGATGAGCAGGAATCACACCTCCATGTCCCACTGATGAGTGTTCCAAGGCAGAAAGACAGGTAGATAATCAAATATACAAAGGAAAAAAGAAGGAAAAATAAATTTAAAAGCTTCTTAAATCTTATATATAATTTGTTTCTTTCATGCAGAGTAGTTACTGGCTGAAAATATTTTGCTTTTTCCCTTAATCAGGGGTGGGATTCTACCGGTTCTGTCCACCTCTGTAGAACTGGTTGCTCTGAAGAGCAGCAAACAGAGAGCATACATTGAACCGGTTCTGTGTCTGCTGCTGTTTTGGCCCACCCGCCTGTCCGGGCTCTTAACGGTCCTTTGTTTCCTGCTTTTTCAACCGCAGCTGCTTTGCATGGCACAGCTGCGGTTGAAAAAGCAGGAAAAAGGGGCTTTTCCAACTGCTGTGCACCACACACAGCGCTGCTCAGCTGTCCGGGCAGCTCAGCAGGCTGTAAATTGCACTTGCGCGACTGACACATGCGCGCGCGATGCAGAACCACAGAACCGATAGTTATATGGTTGGATCACATCCCTGCCCTTTATCCACATTTTTTGAGGTAGTTCTCAGTTGAATTACATTCAGCACTGGTATAAGGACAGCATTCTCCATTATATTTAACTTAGGGTCTCACAATGCACATGGAATTATATCTATCAATATCTGTTGCTGCTGCTGATCTCTATACACAATGCCTGCTGTTCATGCTGGCTATCAGATTCTGTCCATCTAAATCTTCCTACTACACACGTTGAGTTAGTGCTGCTCTCTTATGCTTAAAATGACGCAAAACAATGCATAAAATTGCTGTCCTGTCTTACTCTTTTACAGGGGGCGGAGAGAAGTGGAATGATTGTAAATATAAGGAAAATGACAGAAAAAGCTCGATTTAGTTGTTTTCATTATTTTCTGGAGTGAAATAAGTGAGGGTAGGGCAAAAGAGTCATATGCTGAGATGGGCAACTATAGAAACAAAATAAGTATATAAAGCCAGAAATATATTTTAGAATATTTTGTTTCAGCATAATTGCATAAAAATGCTTCTACTTTTTACACATAAAATAGTGCAACGGTGTTTTCCTTTTTTCTTCCCATGGTAGATGCCCAAAGAAAAGTTTGTGTCAGAAACAGGGAGAAGCAGGAAGAAAGGGGATAATGAATGTGAAAGAAATCAAGATGCTAATGAAAATGGCAAATCCTGGAAGAAAATGGCAGCAGCAAAGGCTGAGAGATTGTGGCCAGATTTCCCAACATTTCCTAAACACACCTCTGATCTCATATACAGCAGATCAGCTGATCTAATCTCCAACACAAGCATGACTAAATGTACAGATTTTATACTATAATAGCACTGACTTAAGCAGAAAAATATTACTTTAAAACTGTTAAGCTTATTATGATCTCAAGCTGTTTCATTCATGGCCTGGAGATAAGGCAAGGGTAGCATCATGAAGATAATGAGTGAATATTGATGTTTCCAGAGTATAACTCAGGCAGATCCAATGCAGTAATGGAAGAAGCATATCCAGATGGCAGGTTTCAGCAAATAAATAAATAAATAAATCTACTAGGACATTAACCACTACTTCTTCTAAAAATTTAAACAGTTCAATGGCATTATCTCTATACCTGATGCTTTACCACTTGGCAGCTGATCAATAGCCTATCATTCTTCATGTCAAAAGATATTTGTTCCTTATTCTTGGTTTACAAATGGTTCTGTCATTCAGTAATCCTGTTTGTAAAGAGTTCGATCTCTTTACAAATCTTGTTTGTAAAGTGTTCAATCTCTTTATAACGTTTCTTTGCTTCTATTAGATCTCTCTTATTATTGTTGTTGTTCAGCAGTCCTACCTTAATTATACATTTTCTTGCAATATTTTTGATTTTTTAAAAAAATATTTCATTTTATTATCTATGGAGATTCTCAGTCATCCAGGTTATGGTTGTCCCAAAGATACTTTTTCCAAAAGGCAAATGGACTTTCTTGGTTTTTTTTTCTCTGAAAACATTTCACTTCTCATCTAAGAAGCTTCTTGGATGAGAAATGGAATGTTTTCAAAGAAAAAAGAAAGTCAATTGCCTTTTGGATAAAGCACCTTTGGGATATTTTCTTTTTCTTGTTATTTTCTTCTCTTTGTTGATATTCTTGATTGAGATATCTTCCTATGTCAGGTACATAAGGCAATATTTAAACAAACATTAAATATGTCACACAACCAGTCCATAAGTATACCTCATCCATATTTTAACTTTCCTCCAATTAAAACACACTATGTATGCCTGCAAATCTGCACAATAGACCAGACTAGCTAAAGCAATGCCTTTCCCAATGGCAATATATAACTGAAAAACTGAAAATAAATAACTGCAATAAAACAGATATCTTCAAATTATGAATTTGAAATGTGGTCTGCAAGAAACCACCCACAGTAAATTGTTCCTGGAAAAATAAAGAGTGGCTATTGCACTGGAGTTATGTAAACAGACACTCAGATACTTGGGCTTGTGATACCGACAGATATGGATTAGATATGTCTGTCAGGGTTAAGTAAAGTGATAGAAAGTAAGACAATGGATAAGGTGTTAGATGCGATCAAGGTTATCAGTGGGATATTCCTGTAAGAAGTGCTAATTTTTCTCAAAGTACCAGTGAGGACAGATTGAGATGGAGAATATTTTTACAGATCTCAGAAGTTGTGCCTGACTTGAAGATACCTTAGATATAAACAATGTACATAGCTATATCTAATAATGTACATCTATCTATCTTTTTCACAATTATTCTTTTTTTTACTTTGAGAAGGTGTTGATAACTACTTTTTAAATTATAACCTAGATGTTTGTCACCTTTTATTTGTTTAAATAATAAAAACAAAAGCCCTTCTATAGCCTGCACCCTAAAATTAATTACAAAACTCAGTGAGAACATGGTACATAAGATTACAAAACTCAAATAAGGAACTAATTTTAAAGGCCCCAAAGAACCATAATCATACAAGAAAGCAAATTGCTGTAAATCTGAACCCAAGGCTATATTCAATTTTAGATGGATAAAAGTTGTTTTTACCTTGGAATTTCTGTCAGTGGTGGTATAAGGCAACCAAGATGAAAGGCCTTAGGGCACCCATCACAACAGATCAGCTCTCCACCATCCCTACAAATGGCACATTCATCATCGTTCTTCTGGCCAGCAAAATTGTGGAATGATTAAAATGAAAAGAACATTACAATTTGAACCAATTTCTTACATATGGCCAAGGTTGCTTTTGCTGATTTTATTAAATCACTAGACCTTTTGTTAAAATTATCATTTCTTAGTTTACTTTGACCAGTAGCCCATTTTAAAGATTTTCAATATCCACGAAAACTTATTTAATAATAGGCTTACAGCCTTCCAGAAGATCATATACCAATGTATAGAAAGATCTGTATAATGTCTGAACAATATTTTGTAAAGCCCGAGTCAGATATTGCAGAAATCAGATGTCCGATTTCTTATGTAACCCAAGCCAAAGCAGCCAAGGAGGGCAGTGAATATTGACCAAATGGCATCCTCAACAAGCCAACAGAAGCTCACTAGATGCAAGCTCTTGACAGAAGCAGCATCAAGATCATGAATAAGATGTCCTAATCTCATTCATACTCTAAGACTTGTGGGAGAAGATGGAGAATACTGTTTTAAAACTGGAATGGCTAAGGACAAATTTAAGCTCCCTCCACCCTGGACTGGGAGTGAAATAAAAACTGCAATATGAAGACACACCCTATAAAAACAGTGAGGTGTCTCCAAGCATAGTTAACAGGTCATATAGAGCCCCAAATCTCCGTGGGTCTTACTGATTATTTCTATTCGGGGAGAAGCGTAAATCCAAAAAAATATTTGGGTAATAAAGAGGGTAATTATTAACACCTTTTATAAAAACAGGCAAGAATTAGTTTATGCAGTTATTATATGCTTTGAAATACTTGGGGAATTCCATCTTGATAGAAATGGCACATCATCTAAGAAGGAAAAAAAAATACATCATGGCCAAACCCACATCTTTGAATCTGACACCAGTTTAGTACGTAAGGAAAATTGGGACTTCCCACTGCTGATGGATTATACGTTGGGTATACACTATCCTAGATTAGGACAAAGCTAATGAACTATACTATTAGCTATTAGGAACACACAGGGCAACACCCATCATGCCTCCACGTGTTCCTATCATAGGAAAGTTTATGGAAATTTTTCATTTATATTAGAATAGTGTCATATACACTTAGTCCTTGATTTACGACCATAATGGAGCCCAGAATTTCTATTGTAAGTCATCAAGGTCTTAATCCAAGACATTCACATAACCGGATCCAATTTTATGACTTTTTTTTTGCAGCAGTTGTTAAGCAAATGCCATGATCATTAAGTGAATCAGTGTATTCTTATGGATATTTTTTTCCAGAAACCAGTAAAAAAAGACCAGAAATCTGTAAAAAACAAAACAAAAACCCATTAATCACAGTCATGTTACCATGGATTGCTGCAACCAGCTCTAAAGTTGAGCTGGTTACCAAACCTCTGAAATATGGGACCGCAGGAGGTTGTACAACTGTCAACACTTCAGAATTGGGTAATAAGTCATAATGGGGTTTCCACTGTAACTTTGAATGGTTGTTACTTTACTATACAGTAAAGGATTAGTCTGAACAGCAGTTTTCCAACAAAAATATGTCTATAGGTTCTTTCTACAATCTCACCTCTCTTATTTACCTCAGCAAGAACATGATGTATTGCCATTTAGATGGAACAATTATAGAAATTGTATGAGATTGTTTTCCACTTCAGTTTTAGGAAATACTGTATGACTTTATGCTTTTTTAAATGTCAACCACAGGGCTTACATTGTAGTTTCATGTGATCACTGACTTAAATCTTGAGAAATTATGCTATTATAATTGTGTAATTTAGTAATAGCGATTGGTAAGATTCAACGAGGCAGCAAGGAATGAGTACGTAGGCTGCACACATACAGGAGCCATTACTTGTTCCTTTCCTTTAAAATAATGCATTCAAATTCCACACAAATGTCCTCATTAATATGCAAGGTAAACAATGCAGTATCTAGCACAGTATCTGTCTCTTGTATGTGGAACTAGCATGCAAATGTTTTTCTTGCTGATGTTCACCTATTCATATTGAATAGTCATGTTCAGTTGCTAGTTTTGCATCTTAATATAGATTGGCAATATAGATTGGCATGCAACACTTCTTGAAAAGTACATTGCTCTTGGTGCTATATAAATAAGACTAATAGAGGCTCTTGGATTTCCTATTTATCTCTATGTGGTCACCATAACCTTGCCACAGTGAGACTGACTTTAAACAGAGAAGTCAGCCCAGCATAGATTCCTTTTTACTACTAAAGATCCAAAGAGAATAAGAATTTATAATAATATATAATTATACATATTCAGAAACCTGGGGTTCTTTGTTATTCATGCTTGGCTTCTTTTCATAAGCTTTATTTTCTCCAAGTTCTTCTGATGTGCTTGATGTATAACATTCATCCCCAACTTTAACAAATTTCTTAGCATTGCCTGGAAAAAGACATATTTGACATCTTTGGAACTGTGCCTTTCGTAGGAGACAATTTAACCTTAGCTGTAATTGAAATACAGTATTAAACCAAATTAACCTTTTCAACAATGTAATGTAACATATTTTTTCTGCATACGCCCAGCAGTGCAAAATGAAGTAAGTTATAGATTTTACAACAAAGCAAGAAAGAAGCTTAACACAATATGGAGAATACCACTGTGCCAATGTTTAAGTGGGACTAAAGTAGAATGTAGCACTTTGAAACAGCTGTGTTCGATTCTCGACTGTTCAGTAGATTCCCACCTTTATACCTCAGACCCCATATGCAAAATTGAGATCTACTTAAATACTATTTTAAAATGCTATTATAACAAATGATCAAGTTAACTTTCCTTTGGAAATTCTTCATCTTGACATTCAAATTGTCTATTATTTCTGTTTGAAGATTTCTTTTCTGTTAATATATTCAAAAGAAACAATCAACAAGCCAAAAAGGGAACATATAGACCCATGATGGTGAACCTATGGCACGTGTGCTATAGGTGGCATGCAGAGCCATTTGTGCAGGCACACAAGTCCCAGCCAAACTTACCTGCACTGCATATGCGCGTGCCTCCCAGCTGATTTTTGGCCCATTTGAGGGTTTTTTCGGCCTCCCAGATGCTCGAGGGAAGTCTCTGCACCCTCGTAGAGGCCGAAAAATGGGCCTTCTGGAAATACCGGAAATGACGAAACCGGAAGTGATGAAATGGGCCCGTTTTTCAGCCTCCAAAGGCTGCAGAGGCTTCCCTCAAGCCTCTGGGAGGCCGAAAAGGGCCTCAAATCAGCTGGGAGGCATGTGCATGCACAGTGCAGGTAAGGGGGGTAGGGGTATTGCATGACCATGTGCAGGGGGGTGCATTGCATTGTGGGTGCCAGCAAACACGCACTTTCAGCACACCACAACAAAAAGGTTCACCATCACTGATATAGACCAAAACACTTCAATACCAGCAGTCAACACCCTGATGTGCATAGATTAACACCAAGATTAACATTGGACCAACAATTAAGTGACTATACCTCAATCAAGAAACAGTCAAACAGCCCAAGCAAAGAACTTCCAAGACCACTCTCACCAATACCAACAGGGCAAAGCACTAGATTATAAATTGAGAGCAAACCTCATTCCATACTAGCACTGATGATGTCACCTAGTTTGGGTAATGAAACATCTGCAAGAAAACAACCAAGCTCAGGGAGCACCAAGGATCTTTAATTTTAACATTGAAATATTCTCCTTATCAGTTTCTTCTATCAATCATGTTTGATTCTTGGACACTGTCTGAAATAGTCCCTTCAATTTTCTTGGCAAGATTTTTCAGAAGTGGTTTGCCATTGCCTTCTTCTGAGGGCAAAGCGAAGGTCACCCAGTTAGTTTTGTGCCTTATATGGAACTAGAAATAATCTCCCAGGTTCTATGATGCCATAGCCATTACATTAAACTGGCTCTTTGAAGAGAATATTTAGCAATTAGAAGGTTCTTTAGATTGAGTAGAATAATTGTGGAGAGATAATATTGAACTGATCTGATTTTTCTTAGTTGAATCTCATAATTAATCAATTTTCTTACATGCAACGAATAGACTTAAATGAAATCATCAAAAAGCAGCTTAGATCAACTGTTAAAATGAGAAACTGATTCAGCAAAAGTTACTGAATAGCCTTTAATGACATTTTTTCTCACCTAATGTAATATATAGGCCGCCTGGCTAAAGAAATATTTTGTATGCTGAACAATACTTTAGCCATTTAGAATTCTAAATAAGAAGAATGACTTGGGATCATATCTGAGTGAGCAGTACATTAAGGCATTGTATAAAGATAATGTTGGATAGTCAAAGACTAGCAACCAACAACTTCAAAATTAAATCTAAAACTTAACCAAGTTGTGTGATATTTCAGTATGTAACATTGACAAGACTCCAAACAAGGATGTCAAATTATTGTGAAATTCTTTGTTTCTTTCTGAGATCCCCGGGAGACATTTCAAAATCTAATGATCTGATAATGAAACAAGATTGTTCAGGGTTTTAAATTTTATTTTGATTGATAGATCATTTCACAGAAGTAGCCGAACAGTATGGATTAACATATTCAAGAGGGCTGTGAAAATATTTATAGACCCCTCACATCCTGGACATAAACTGTTTCAACTCCTACCTTCAAAATGACGTTATAGAGCAGTGGTCGCCAACTGCTGGGCTGGGGACCACTGGTGATCTGCGAGAAAATTTTGGTGGTCCACAGAGAAATGTCCCCCAAAAGCATTCCCCCCAAAGCAATTAATCCAGGCTGCACGAGAACATAAGGCTGCACCGCCCACATGGCCCACCCACCTGCTGGCCCCCACCCTTCGGCCGAGCACAAACCTTACCTTGAGTAGAGCCACATGAGCTGGAACTGGAAGGTAAGACCAACAGCGGGGAGGGAAATCCATCATGGGATGTCTTGCTGACTTTGATGGGAAAGTCAGTCCCATATTCCAGAGCTGCAGTAGTCACAGGACTAGTCTTTTGGTCATCCTGGAGCAGCTCCTCCAGTCCATGGCAGGCCAGTGTACCCAGGTGGAGGGGCAACTGCTCCAGGATGACCAAAAGGCCAGTCCTGTGACTACTGCAGCTCTGGAATATGGGACTGATTTTTCCACCAATTTCAGCAAGCCACCATCTGTCAAAATTCATATTAGTGGTCCGTGGGATTTAAAATTATGAGTTTGGTCGTCTAAGGTCCAAAAGGTTGGTGACTCTGTTATAGAGCACTACACACCAGAACAACTAGACACAAGCACAGTTTTTTCCCCAAACACCATCACTCTGCCAAACAAATAATTCCCTCAACACTGTCCAACTATTTACAAAGTCTGCATTACTATTACTATTACTCTTGTCAACACTCCTTATCACCCATCCCCTCTCACTTGTGACTGTATGACTGTAACTTTGTTGCTTGTATCCTAATAATTTATATGAACTGTTTTCTAGTATGATTTCATTGCTTATTGTACCCTATGACTATTGTTAAGTGTTGTACCTTATGATTCTTCACTCTTGATGAATGTATCTTTTCTTTTATGTATTCTGAGAGCTTATGCACAAAGACAAATTCCTTGTGTGTCCAATCACTCTTGGCCAATAAAGAATTCTATTCTATTCAACAAAAATAGCAAAGTGATAAACTTACCACTTGGAAGAGGGTAATGTTGTACCTCAGCATTTTCTGATTTCTTCACAGCTTTTGTTTTAGGATGGGACCCTGTTGATTTATAAGACGGTTTGCAATACTGAAAGCAGAAATTTTTTTTTTTTTGCAAAATGCACACTATAGGTACTATGTTTCTCCAACAATAGGCCCCTCCAATAGGAAGGCCCAGCATGTATGAGGTGAAATTAAGCCCCTCCCCCAAAATTAAGGCTCATTTAAAACATGCAAAATGGGGGGAAGGGTGGGGAGGAAACTTGCCATTAGGAGCACCCCACAGGCAGCCACGCCTCGCCACCAGCTGCTCCTAATGGCCGATCATGGCAGAGAGGGGAGACCTCAATACCCCCAAGCGCCATTGCTGCAGACCCAGGTATGATGCTGGCTGTAGGCCAATTCAGCGGGTGGGCAGTGGCGGAAGACACTCTTCCCTTTCTCCCTCCCTCCCTCCTTCTTTCCCTGCCAAGCTTCCCAGTTGCCGTCAAGCAAAGCGATGCCCCAGTGGGAGGGCAGGAGGTTCTCGTTGGCAGCAGGGTCTGTCCCACCGCTGCTGCTGCTGTTGTTGGAGATGGCACTGGTGAGAGAGGAGCCACTGCCGGCAGGAACCATGGAAGCTAGGGAGGGGGCTTCTCGCCTAAGAAGCTGCCGAAATGCTGCTGGTGGAGGAATGTGCTCAAACCATTCCTCCACCCGCTGGAAGGGCCACTTCTCCACTACCACTGTGCCACAATGTCCAGCAGACCCTCCGGCCTCTGCATGTTGCCCAATGGCAGAACTCTGAATGCAGCATAAGCCGCAAGGGCAGAAGGGAAAGCAACGGCGGTGGAGGAAGCGGCAGTGATGCAAAATGCCCTGCCGCTGCTGAGGCTGACATCCATGCCGCCGCCACTGACCCAGCCTGCAGCCAGCACCATACTCAGGTCTGCAGCAAAGGCGCTTGGCGGAGGTAAGGAGCTCTCCATGCTCAGCCGTTAGGAGCGGCTGGTGGCAAGGCATGGCTGTCCATGGGGCACTCTAGGAGAAGGTGCATGGTGGTGGGGGAAATTAAATCACCCCCGAAAAGATGGCCTAGCTGTTTTTGGGGGGTCAAAAGAAAATAAGGCCCAGTCTTATTTTCTGAAAAACACGGTAGTTCTAAACTTACAACCACAATTGAGCTCAAAATTTCTATTGCTAAGCAAAGAGGTTGTTAAGTGAGTTTTGCTTCATTTTATAACCCTTTTCTCCACTGTTGTTAAGTGAATTACTGCAGTTGTCAAATGAACCATGCAGTCATTAAGCAAATATGGCTTCCTCCATTGACTTTGCCTGTTGGAAGCCTGTTGGGAAAGTCACAAATGGTGATCACAATACCCTCGCACAGTGCAGCTGTCAGAAATACATGCCAGTTGCCAAGTGCCTGAATTTTGATCACATGACTGTGAGGATGCTGCAACAATCTTTAGTGTGAAAACAGTTGTAAGTCACTTTTTCCAGTGCCATTGCAATTTTGGTTACTAAACAAATAGTTGTAAGTTGAGGACTACCTGTAACAATAAATCTTATTATATGTTATTTATTAGGATAAAATTAAGAACTATACTTTTCTCAGAAGCTTGAGAGCCATTAGTAGAGACAATATACTGTAAAGGAATGTTTAACTCCAACTGCATGTTATCTTTAATTTTATAAAAAGAGAAAAATACAGTATGATGTCATTCCTCTTCTGAGATGCTTAAGTTTTGGAGAGGGGTTTCCTTTTTTCTTTAAATTTATTCTTTTCATATTTTAGTTAAACTGCAATATCCCACAGATACAGTAAAAACATAGTAAATAATTCTATACCAAGGTGCAGATCAATTTTCCCTGAAGGCTGAGTCAATTGCAAAGGGTCTTTTTCTTCTATCTTTCTCTTTCCTTGGGATTTGTGCTGAGTCACAATCTTTGGACTAATGGCAACTTTCTTTGTTCTGCGATGCTTGCTGAAATCCATATCTGAAAACAAGGGAAATACTGAGACTGATTGAGATTCTTGCCTACAATTGTGGGAATATATCTCCAACTACATAGAAGGTAACATCTTCCTTAGCAAAGACAGATATATGGCACAAGATAGATCTTCTAAATGTGCTGGCATTATTAACTCACATTTTCATCATTGTATCAAGTGATTGGCTTTAAATTAAACTTGAATTTTAGCTTGTACTAAAATCACTTTGATATGCTAGACATGTCCCAAGTACACTAATTTTACTATGAACCTCATCCAGCCAATTAGATACAACTTGGTTTACTTCCATAATTCCCAATTTCTGTACTACCTATTATTCACAACTTCTCACTGTCTCCTGTAAATTTCATTTTAAGGCCATGATGACAACATCTTATACCTTTAGGAAAGCTGCTCCAAATGGACTGAAGCTTGGAATACCTCTCCAAGTTGTATTCTTTGAAAAGGACTCTCCAGAAATCTTCTATGGAAGATAAATCCTGATTTAGCAACCATGTCAACATGGTATAAAAAGCCCTGTGGCAGCCTTCGGTTTCCTTCAGGTGGAGAGTGTCCTTCAAGACAAAGAGAGCGAAAATACAAAATTGACCTAATTCTCAAATATATTTTATTCCTTTAAAATGCTTAACATGCAGTATATATTATTTGTTGTAGTCCAAGTTCTTGAATAGTAGCTAATTAGGGATGGTAATAGCCTCAACATTAAACTTTGGTGTATAAATTGGGAGACAACACTTTCATTCATACTTCAATTCTAAAAGTTAATAGCCAGGATATACAGTTTCAGACTCTCTTGATTTTTCACCGTACCTGCCCAAATAAAAGTTTATACAAAGCCGTCTGAAAAACCATCGCATTTCAATAATTTGCACAGAATGAAAGAGAAAATGCAGTAATGAAAAATAAAAACTCCAAAGTTAAAAAGTGAGAGAGACCAGAAAAACTGTAACTGAACATGAGTTATGCATAATATTGTATAAAATAAAACAAGAAATATGCAAATTATTGTAACACATTAAATGAATGGCTTAAAAGAAACAGATATATTCCAGTATTGTACTGAAGAGCTATATGTACTCAGATTTTTTTTCCCTCTCACCTTGAACATCTCTTCAGTGACAATTTCATGATCAGCAAGCCCATGAAGTAATGGGAAGACATCATCCACTGCCATTGAAATCTCTGTGCGATAAATCTTCAGTAACTTTCTCAAATCTCCTTCTCCTAATGCTCTATTGGAATTGAACATCCTGGAACAGAAACATGTACAGAAGGAGTAAACTAATCTTCCAAGTTTATTTTTGGATCAACTTTGCATGAATCAAACCTTATTAAAAGTGCCAGAAGATAATTAAAACCCCAGTTTTGAGGTAAAATATTCTGAAGGATCATCAATTATGAACCTTGCTGGCTTTGGAACATTAGACGTGCAAAAATAGCTTGCAAAAAGATGGTACTCCTGCCTATAATTTGTCTTTTCCAATGACTCCTTGGTTGTTATTTTTCATTTCTTTCAATATTTCTAAGTATTCAGCTTTGACATGCTTAGCCAGGCTGCCTTAATAATCAAGAGATACCACCTTGTTGGTCTCACCTCCTAAATGGTAATCAACACAATATCTGCTTTCTGTAGTTCCTTGTGCTCCTTATATTGCTCCATCTTGAAATAAGGATAGATGAGGAGGGAGGTGGTGGTGTGTGGAACAAGATCAATAAAATTTGATTGAAGATACAAACAGAAACTCCGTAATAACACTCTGATGAATCTGGGAAATAAAACCTCTCTCCAGTAAAGCCTATTTAGACCACTTTATTATTTGAAATATCGTGTTTCTTTCACAGTGTTTCACTCCACCCTGTGCCATCTGCACACACTGTGTATTGCCTTTCTTGACTGGAAAATGAGAAGGTTGTACTGTGTATGGGGAAGTGCTGGGTCCCCACCCCACCCCGGTCCCTTACAGTTCTGATAACTTGCATGAGAGACTTGCCAATTATTATTATTATTTATGTTGCAAAGATATGGCTATAATCAGGAATATAATAATATTGAGCACCTATATTCATGTTGTTTGACAAGTTATTGCCATAATTTATTTAAAATACAAATATAGGATTTGTATTTTAGTTTTAGAAAACCTAATACTAGTCTATTGTTTCAATTCATGAAAATCAGGTGACAGCTAAAAGCTGTGAGTAGTGTTCTTTTATATGCTAATTCTGTGAGAATTGGATCAGAAACTGCTTTTCATGAAAAATAAATATACAATTACTCTCAAGTATGTAATTGGTTTCAAAACACTTTAAATTATTCTTGACAAAATTTGTGGACTTTCCATAGTATGTAATCATTATATCTTCACTAAAATGAAGCTAGGAAAAGCCCACAATAATGATCACCAAAGAAATAAAAGTATATAATTCAAATGATCCTAAGTATTGCTAATGTGTTCTTAGATCCACAAATTTCCATTCTACTTTAGAAACACTTGGACAATTATTTTTAACAGTGAATTCATTTTAATCTATTCTCCAGTAATGCTTTGTCATCTAATTCTCTATTCATTACCTTTCTCTAAATATATTAGCTTAACTTTTTTCTCACTCCATTTTGTAGTAGTCATAGTAGTTCTTCCCCTTTTGGTCCAGATAGCTCAACTAATAACATGGCTATTATATATATTTTTCCCTAAACTATATTATTTTCCTCTGTCACTAGAATACAGGTATTGCAAGTATTTTAAACACACTTGGAATGAAACAGAGCATGGCTAGTTGCTGCTGTATCCCAGCTATTGAAAATGTATTCATATTTCCACATCTCTAAATCCAGAAAGCAAGAAAAAAATGGATACATATTGACCTAGGTAATGATTTATTTATTTACTTATTTGTCAAGCAAGTATTAGATAACAAGTATAAGTATAAACATGGTTATGAATACATGAAATGTATACAAATAAAAAAGAAACAATAGGACAGGGTCTGTAGACATGTTGGTGCGCTTATGCACACCCCTATAGACCTCTTAGGAAAGGGGTGAGGTCAATAGTAGACAGTCTAAGGTTAAAGTTTTGGGGTTTGGGGAAGAAACCACAAAGTCAGGTAGAGTATTCCAGACATTGACCACTCTGTTGCTGAAGTCGTAGTTCCAGCAATCAAGTTTGGTGCAGTTTACCTTGAGTTTGTATCTTTTGTGTGCTCTTGTATTGTGGTTGAAGCTGAAGTATTCATTGACAGGGAGGACATTGCAGTAGATAATTTTATGTACTACCCTTAGATCAGATGGAAGGCGGCGTAGTTCCAGGTTGTCTAGGTCTAAAAATTTCAAGTCTGGTGGCATAAAGTATTGTGCTACGAGGAGTGGAGAACTCTTCTTGTGAAATATTTCTGGACTTTCTCAACTGTATTAATATCTGATATGTAATGTGGGTTCCAGACTGATGAGCTGTATTCAAGTATTGGTCTAGCAAATGTTTTGTATGCTCTAGTTAGTAGTGTGATATTACTGGAGAAAAAGCTATGCAGGATTAGGTTAACAACTCTTAATGCCTTTTTTGGTTATGTAGTTACAGTGGGCCCTAGCACTTAGAACATTAGAGATGAGTACTCCAAGGTCCTTGGCACAGTTGTGGTCATCAACAAGGTCTTGATTATTCAGCTTGTATTTTATTTTCTGATTATTATTATTTTTGCCAATATGTAAGACAGAGCATTTGTTTGTTGAGATTTGAAGATGCCATTTGTTTGAACATTCTGACACATAGTCAAGGTCATTTTGAAGGGTAGCAGTATTGTCAGTGGTGTTGAATAGCTTTACATCATCAGCAAAAAGAGCACGGTTGCTCTTAATATGATCACAGAGGTCATTTATGTAGAGTATAAAAAGAGTTGGTCCTAGAATACTGCCTTGGGGTACATCACTGTTGACAGGTACAGGATTTGATAGGACGCTCCCTATTTTGACTATTTGTTGCCTTTTTGACAGGAATGCATCTATCCAGTTATGCAGGTGTCTGGAGATACCATAAGATTTTAGTTTCAGTGTACCACTGAATCAAAAGTTTTAAGTTGTGTAGTCCATACATTTTTGCAGTGTAGGAGTTGCAGATTACAGGAGTTTTTTTCTGAAACCAAACTGTTTGTTAGAGAGTAGGTTGTTTGTCTCTAAGTGGAAGATAATGGATTGATTAATAATTGATTCCATGACTTTACAGGTGATGCAACATAAAGAGATTGGTAATTTTCAACTAGGCTGAGGTCTTCCTTTTTGAAGATGGGGATGATTGTGGCTAGTGACCATAGATATGGCAGGGAGCTGGTCCTGAAAGATTTTTCAAAGATTATGCTTAGAGGTTCTGCTATGGCAGTGGATAGCTTTTTGAAGGAGTAGGCACATATTCAGTCCGGTCCAAAAGATAGAGATTGTTTTAGAGATGGCGTAGTGTTTTTTCAACATTACCTTCTATAAAATCGATATGTATTAGATCATTGCAGTTGTCTGTGATTTGACTAGGAAATATTGGGCATGATCCATTGCTGTTTACAAAGACTGAGCCAAAGAATGTGTTAAAGAGGTTGGCTTTAATGGTGTTACAGTCGTTACAGTCTTTACCGTTAGGTCCTTTCAGGGGTGGGATGGACCTCGAGTCTTTTGTTTACAAAATTGTAGAAAGCGCAGGTGGAACTGGTGCGTAGGTTTTCCTCTTGTTTAATGTGATAAGTGGTGCATTCAGTCTTTATCTGGTGGCATAAATTTTTGTATCGGCTTTTAAAGTTGGGAACATGACCAGATTTGTTTTTCCATCAAAGGGATGTCTTTTTGGATTGGAGCTTCCTTATTGCTATGGGTAAAAATTTTTTTCTGGTTTTGGAAGTTGTTATTGGTACATATAGTTTGATGACTCTTTTGACCTCAAGTAAAAATATGTTGTAATGGTCTTCAACAGTATTGCATCCAGTGAATAGAATTTGCCAATCAAGAGATAAGATCGTCTCTAAGATCATAGTTGCCTTTTTGAAGTTATAATTGGGGATCCCGTCGTTATTTTTGAGGACATATGTTGAGACAAGTCAGTCATGCTGTGGTGACTGTTGGAAAAGGATTCTTTTGTTTGTATTCCGTAAATTAAATTCAAACTGTTGCAAAAGATGAGATCTAGGCAGTTGTTGGTTACTAGTTGATCCACACCTCCATTTTTAGAACTGTGCATACCTACATGATTGTTTATTGTGGCATTGCACCTCACCCAAATTCATTAATGAAGTGGGAACTGTAAGAAACAGAAGTACATACTATTTTAGAATTTCAAGTGAAATTAGAAATTCAGCTGAAATTGGCACTGGGACTTACCTGAAAGCATTTGAGGGCTGTTGTTAGTTAAGGATTGAATTCATTCATGGAGCTTAACTATGTTGCTCATCTGATTTGTGCAATTCCATTCACTATTTATAAGCCAGCATTGACTTGATGCTACACATGAACAGGGACCAACATTTCTTACATGCATTGAATTAAATTCCCATAATCCTGATAGTCTGTGAATTATGTGTATATTTAGAAAAATATGGACAAGTACAAGCATACTTTGGACAGAGTTCCTATTCCCAAAAGCTGGACATATTTTGTCAGCTACATGATTCAGCTGCTAATCAATGATGTGAATTTGGTATCAAAGATTATTCATATTTGCAATCACAATTGTTTTGCAAATTCTGACCAGAAATTTGCATGGAATTTTAACTTGACTGATATGACCATGTATGATATATTAGAACCCACCTTGTGAAGAAAGATTCTATTCATTCAGGCCAAGCATCAAACTTCTGATTCAATTTTCATATAATGACAAAGAAGTAGGATTAAGAGGTAGGCCTTCTAAGTTATGGTTAGGGTCCCCTCAAAAGTAGGATTGGTTCCACCCAATCACTGTTTCAATAAGCTTTAGATATAATTATTATGCAGTACCAAAGTAGATTATAGAGACTGTTGTATCATAAGCATTTATTCCATTCTTCCAGGATGCATGGTGAATGCTTTCTATCAGACTTAAAACAAGAAACAGCAGCAGAGATGTTTATTCACATGACAGAATAATTAGAAACAGATTTGCAAGTTAGAAATCAAAACAACAAAAGGAAAAACTGCAAAGGTTTCAAGAAAATTGAATTCAATCTCCAATCTCAACCTCAAAAAATTGACAAATGGAACAGATCTTCCAATTAAAGTTAGATTAGGGAGATGCTGATCCTGTTAATATTCATAAAGGCCACAAAGCTTTAACATATTGATAAAAAGCACCGCAAACAATCAGAATGCTGCTTTTAAGCAATTTTATTCTTGGCCAGAAAAAAATCTTCACTCAGTTTATAAAACAATTAAAACTGTTAATTGAGAGCCTTCTTAACATTTGTATGAAAACTGTCTTGGTCATGCAATTGATTATTCTGTAGCTGATCACAGTACTGTTCAAGTAAGCTTAATACAAAGTTAACATACTTGATCATCTTCCTTTAGTTGTAAAAGGAATTAACCTAGGAGGCATACATTTCCCATTCTCAAAATTTCATTCTCAGAGTTTCTATTATTCTACAATTTTTATACTACATCCCATATAAAAACATCTCAAGTGATTAATTTGTATATTCCTTAATCTTTACGACTTTCAAAGAAAAAAATAAGGCCCATGACTCATTTCCCCCATTTATTTTACTAAGCTTCTCAACTTTCTGTTTTCTTCTTCATAATACCAGAATCTGAGATCATCAGGTGAAGGTGAATGGCGGGAAATTCAAGAAGCTATTTCACATTATACAACACTTAATTTAATCATATAAATTCATTTTTATAAAACGAATCACTTTTTAGATAATTTTAAAGGATTCAAAACATTCTCAGGAGTATCAGAATACGAATAATTAAAAGTGACATGGCTCTAAATACCAGAATTTAGAGTAAAGCTTCATTCCTGAGGACTATATAATTTTCTAGGCAGGTGGTTTCCCATTGCCATTTTCCAGGATATGATTATACCTCTGAATTCCAGTATCTAAAGAACAATTTGTAATAGGAGTTATTGTCATCATAAAGCACCTTATTTGGAATCTTTCCAGAGGTACACAGTTAACCAATATGCTTAATTCCAACACTACTTTTCTTATTTTTTTTGTTGCTATTTTAGCATTCAAATTGATATTTTCCTTTCAAAACAATTGCATAATTAAAACCAGTTTGGACTTACTTAATCATATATTCACTTGTACTGTGTGTACTGTTTATTTTAGTAGTTAATGTTGTTATAGAGGAATACATGGAAAATATAATGCTAAAAATACAGAAAAAAGCTTTTAGATGTGAAATGAAACAAAAATATGTAATAATAATAGCACTTCAGACTTTGCATCACCTCCATAGTGCTGGTACAGAACTCTCTGAGCAGTTTACAAATATCAGCATATTGCCCACAACAATCTGGGTCCTCATTTTACTGACCTCGGAAGGATGGAAGGCTGAGTCAATCTTGAGCTGGTCAGGTTTGAACTCCTGGCTGAACTCCTTGCATTCAAACCACTGTGCCACCATAGCTCTTGTAATGTATCTACCTAATTTATGCAGAATTATTCTTAAAATATTATTGAATTCACTTGCTGCCTATCTCGCCATGGGACTACTCTAGAATTATAAAGAAAAGATTTGAATATTTTAAGTTTTAAATTTTTAAAGAATCAACAACTTATGTACAAAGTCAGTTGGTATGACTAAGTAACTAGATATTTCTGTTGTTGCAAACATGAGAGTTTACACATTCAAAATTATCAGTCTATGAGACTTTTTTTCTTTAACCTTTTGGCAGGTTTACCTTATTGTGTTACCATATCATATCGTGTTTTACACATCTTCCTGTTACTTTTAACTACAGATTTTTTTTACATAATTACCACTGATATTTAATTGCCAAAAATTTAGAAAAACGATAGCTGTCACCAGCACACTGATATCAAACGCCATTGTTTAAAATTCCTGTTTTCTTCCAACAAGCTATCAAATTATCTACAAGAACTGGTTTGCCAAAGTACAGGGTCTCTTAGCATCTACTAGGTCAAATAAGCAACCCATTACTTTTTGTGCAAATACCTAAAACCATTTGAATCTCAGTGTATCAACTGCAAGTTATATATACTACATCTCTTAGGGCCAGACAGGTTTTTGTTTTCTTTTTCCCCTAGAAAATAACACCACATTCTGAATCACTGGGACCAATTATTATTTTTCCTTAAGGGACATGGTTTAGTTGTCATGGTTTGAGTTTGCAGTTTATTGTGATCTTCAATATTCCAATGTTACACAAAGACTATGAATTTTGTCCCTTTCAATAGCCATGTATACCTTCTTAGGTTAATAAATTGGATATGGTCTTCCAAGCCCCAGCGATGTAAAACTGGAATACAACACATTATTTAATTAATTTACTCTTCATTTTTTTCTTTCTCAGACCTTCATATTATGTTTTTAGCAAAAGGTTTTTAGTATGCCTGGTCTGATTCAAATGCTGTACATAACGGATAAAGCATTATCTTTCTAAGCTGTTTATTGAAATGCATACATTATTCTCATGGAATGTAACCTGTTCATGTCTACTTTTCTAAGCTTATAAGCACTGGAACTTCAGATTTTTGCAAATGTTATATTTTTTTCATAACTAATATTTTCTCTTTGTGAATATTGCTATAAAACTAAATGACTATCATCTTAACTTTTTCCATGGACTATTTTAACCAATCCTTTTGGTGCTGCTGTTGCAAAATAACGGAGCCCAACATAATTATCTACACCAACTCCCAAATAATCTGGGTACTTTAAGATCTAAGTTAATTCCACTAGAGTGTTCAGATATCAAACTAGCAGTTCTTGTATTTGTCAAAAGTCTCATAGAATCCTGGTCTGACTTTTCTGATATTCATACGTAGATGCTGATTTTCAGAAGGAACTGACTCATTGTAAGTGGTTGAAGTTGCTGTCCCAGTTACCCAACAAGGTGACAGACGCTTTCTTTTTGCTTTATCTGAAAACCCTGCAATTCCCTTGTTGTATTCAAGACAGGAGTCATCTTTATTCTTATTAACATCTTCAACTGGCTGTTCATCCCTGTTTGAAGTCATTTCTTTCCGCTTACGAGCTTCTTTCTCTTCCTCTGCAATTTTCCTAAAATGCTCTAATGACTCAACCTTTCTCCGTCTTTCTATTGTTTCCATTTGTTTTTTGTCCACAAAGTCCTCAAAGTACATTTTTCTCTCATTCCTCTGATCTTCAAGGAATTTCCATTCAGTATCTGTCATCTTAACACCACTGCACTGCTCCAATTTCTCTCGTGTAACAGTGTCTGTACAAAATATATCAAAAAGCTGTTCTGAACTCCTATTGAAGTCATCTGCTTTCTGAATAAACAGTTCATTTTTTCTTCGTTTTCTGGATTGGTATAACTTTGAGAATTCTTCATATACTTTCAGAATATGCTTCTTTATGCTGTGTGTTGCTATGGTATATAGATTGCAAAACAACCAGTGTTCCTGCAAAAGTTCAGCAAGCAATTGGGCGGCATCTTCTTTGGATCGTTGTGCTTGACCAGCCCTTTTTGGATGCAACAAATACAACATGTTTTGAATGACATCCTTCTTTGTAGGCAGAATTCCTTGTGCAAATTCAGAAGATTCTACATAATCAACAGTTCCCAGAGTCTTTTTTGCTTTTATTTTATCCAAAGCTGCCATAATTCCTGTTTAAAGTCACTTTATATGAAAAGCTGAAAAAGAAAGGAGACATTAGCTGAAATAACACACCAACAATGAAATGAGAATTTTAATTCAAAAACTTTAAAATGCTATATGAGTAGTTCTCGCTTAACTGTTGTAATATGAATCGGCAACTCTGCCATTAAGCAGTCAAGTGGGAAATCACAAACCATGCTTTCCAGCTGGAAGAGACAAGACTACTAAGTTTCACAGCTTTAGCATTTGTTCGCCTTCTTACCATTCCCCCACTCTTTGGAATGCTCAAGTGCCCACTTACTGTCAAAAGCAATGCAATCATACTGGCAGCCTAGGACTGAGAGCTGCAGGCAAGTTACACAGCTTACAGTACTCTTGAAACCTCTTCCTCTCCAACTTTCTCCACTCTGCTGGGGGGAGGGGGGGGGAGAGAGAGAGAGAGAGAGAGAGAGAGAAAACAGCTCTCTTTTATTTGACTGCTGCCAGCATGATTGCATTGCTTTTGATGGGTAAAAAAATAAGCTTACTGTTTCATTAAACTGTATAAAACATTAGTATATTATTTTATTTACTGAAATAATTGTATTTTCAATTACCTCTATTGACAGAGATAACTAATATTTTCCCAAACAATACAGATTTATAAAACAATGTTTATACAACAAAGTGTATTTATTTTATTAAATTTATATCCTGTCCATATCACCATTACAACAACTCTTGGATACAACCTAAAAGACAAATAAAATCAACAAAGCCATGTCACTGCTATATCCTGATTACATTGCATTATGTTTTACAGGATCCGCCTTTTAAAATTATTCTAAAGCTACAGTTGGACCAAAATGCCTATTTGTCTGCAGGTGAGAGCTACTTTTCACATAATATTGGAATCCACACTGACCAACAAGAAAATTCAAAATGAATTAAAGCCCAACTTCAGCTTAGCATCCAATAAGATCTGAGAGACTAGGCATGCACCTATCACGTAACCAGTGTAATCTGGCAGTGTCTAGGAGGCATGTCTTTTCTGCTTTCATGCCTGCTGAAATTTAGATGTTGTGTAGTCTTGCCCCTGGCCTTGTTTTTTAAAGGCTCTTAAAACTTCACTTTTCCCACAGGAACTGACCAGAAGGTTTTATTACCATCTTGACTATTTTTAAATTATTTTTGATTCAGTGAAGTTGTCTCTGTATATATTATTATATTGTAAAATTTAACAGTTGTGTACTATGCCCTAATTCATATGACAGCTGGATGCCTATATAAATTAAAATAATTCAGGATCATCTTGAAATAGTTTCTACCTATTCAGGACACAGACCACTGAAGGCTTCTTCTCCATATAAAATCTAGGAAAAAATGAGGACATCTTATTCCTCAATGGAATGGAAACCCCATATGGAATGCCATCCCACCAAAAATCTCAATGGTTCCATTATTCTTATCCTTTAGCAATTCCTTAAAAGTTGACCTATTCAGAAAAGAGTTTTAAGATTTCCAGTCCATATTACCTATTATATTTCTAATTATAATTTAGGAAAATTAATAGTTTTGCCATTATTTCTCAACTAGTCTGCTTTTCTGTTACACCACACAAGTCTTTTAGAGCGTGGCAATATATGTATTAAATGAATAAATGTATATTTTCTACTGATGGAAATTGCAATACTCCCAGGTAAGAAGATATCCTCTCAAAGGTATTTTTGGAGCCATTTGCAGCCGAACATAAGTTATTAATCACAGCTATATTAAACCTGCTTTACACTATCAACTTTTAACTATGCTCTTTATTATACACAATGGAAATTCTCTGCATCTTTTCAAAAACTGTAGGCTATGAAAAAAACCCGACTTAGCTGCAAAGCTTAAACTAAACTTGAATTTCCAGAACTATACATTCTTAAATATTAATGCTGTCTACTTTAATTACTTTTAAACATATGTGCAAAGAAATGCTGCCCTAAACAGAATGCGCTTTTCTTAGATATGAAGAAAAGGTATGGAAACACAGAGGAGAGTAAGCGGTACTCCCATGTACAGTGCTCGATTTTTATCCAATAATGCAAGCAGCAGCCTTCAAAATACAAACTTTACATTGTGCAGCTGGATTATAGTTGTATAATTTCCAGCAGCTTGCAATTTAAAAAAAAAAGTTGCACGTCTGCAGGGCAGGTGGCCAAAGAAAACATAAGACAACCGGGAGGTGGAAGAACTGTAATGGGTAGGATAATTTAACGCATTAGTATTTGGGCGCCACAAAACTATTAGTGTCTTCGCTGCAACACATACATAACAATACTTATTCATTCAAATTGTATACTGCCCGATTCTCTTCTCTAACCTAGCAGCTTTCCAAAACAGGGTAAACAAACCCCACCAGCCACCTCAATCTACCCTTCTGTCAGCAAACTCCAGAATACCTATAGGCTCTTTATTTGCTCGCTGGGGTGTGAGTGACTGAGTGCTGTCCTTCCAAACGGAGAATGAGAAGCCCCTCTCCATTTGGCAGATCCCAGTCGCTACTTCACTTCATTTGGCTTTTCCGAAACGAGGATGCTACGTAGAAAAAGCAAAGGGCCACCGGACCCATAAGGGGGTGGAGCGGCCTCCTCCCTCTCGGCCTCGTCAAGTCTCTGCCCACTTGCGTACAGCAGGCCATCTGAAGCCTTCTTCCCCGGTAAGCCAGCGACAGCGGAACCTAGTCCGGTGAACTCCAAATCCGCCTTTCCTCTCATCCCTCCCCTCCCGTTTCAGATTACCAGAACGGCAATATAAAAAAAAAGAAAAGAAAAAACGGTAAGGCGTCACTTACAGGCCCACGCGCCGTGCACCATCCTTTTACTGAAACCCCGCGAGACCTCAAGGCAGTAAAAAGGGAAAAGTGAGCCCACCTCCGCCATCTTGAAGAAGGGCATATTTACAGCTTGCTTTCGGGGAAATTCCTTCCATCTCGCCGTCTCTATGGTCCAAACGGGCTTTTAACGAGCGGCTGAAGAAAACAGCATTAACCTACCAGGAATCGTCAGCTAGCTTGCGTTTCGTTTTGACTAGTCAGCGGAGACGAAACATGGATAAGGGCCTATCAAGTTTTGGAAAACTCTTGACAGCCCCCCCTTTTTTTTCTTAGCGTGAAAAAGAACCGACTGAATAACAGCACAGCAAAAAAAATAATCACTACCATCTAGTAAGGCGAGTCAACAAACGACATCACGGTTAAAATAAGGAGGGGGTTCGCGCGGGGGGAGTAGGTTATTTTAAAGTAGATGGCACCATCCTCATCGACGAAAGAACTGGCCGACCCACAAAAACAGGGAGGCTCTTAGCCAATTGGCTTTCAGTGGGGAAAAACTCGATTGGTCCTCCAAAAGGAACCTGCTTAAATTGCCGTTAATCGAAAACTAGATTCGAATATTGGCCAATCCGCTCTTCTCTGGGAGTACCGTCACCTTGCCAACGAGGGCGGGACTAAGTAAGTGCCTGCCGTCCTTCCTACTATATGTCAGTGCTTAGACTCAAAACTTCTCTTGCTGAGTGTCGGGTTATTTTTTCAATCGCCGCTAATCACCTATGGCTGAGTAAGAGGGCGCGGACTGGTTTGCCTTTAGACGATTTCCCTCAGTAACCAAGGGCTACGCCGGGAAGTTTGTGTAACAATTGTCTCGCTTAGTTGAAGTCTTCGACGTTTAACTCCGGTGAGAAGCGAGCTTGGTTTTGTGATTGACGGTTTCTCCGTTTTCCTCTCCAGGATATTATACACAGTGATGCGCTACGATTTTTTACCTGGAGGTAAAAAAAGTAAAAAAGTAAAAAAGATAAGTCTGCTTATCTTTTGATGCTGTGCCATCGTTTTTGCTTGGTGCAAATTTCTCTATTATCAGATTAACTAAAAATTTAAAAGCTAACCTTGGCACAGATTTGTTTAACTTCATATTATAAGATTGTTATTTATATTAGTATATTAATAATTGATATTAAATATAATGCTATTAAATAATGGACCCAAGGCATCCAAAAGTATAAGCCTCCCCTCCCAGAGGACTTGTAGTTTAAAAACAGACGGAAGGTGGAAATAAAAAAGGAAACAATATTATTTTAATTAAAGATGCTAAAACTAAATTACTACAGAACACTGGAACTGGAGTGTTGTGTCAAATATTTAATCAGCTAATTTAGTTTTGACTGATGAAAGTCTTTACTACTGTGATCCAACCCTTTACTAGGTTCCCTTTTGTTTTGGATATTAAGGAAATTGAAGTGCAGCATATCTGCAGGCACTAAACTTTGATATAGACACTAATAGGTATATTTTGATGCTTGTTTTTTGAAAGACATGTTACATCCCACTGAGTGGGATTTAGGAAGCAACTATTTCCAAAGCTATTTTTGATAAATCAGTGATGCTCTTAAGGATAGCAATTAGAAAGAAGTGAAGATGGAAAAGTTGAAAATTGGACAAATTTGGTTGCGCAAATTGGGAAATATGGTATATAAAGTTGTTTTGCTGCCTGTACTACAAAGTATATGAGAATTAAATGCTCTGTATATCATACAGGATTTCATTGTTTAGTCTTATTTAATGCTGCATTAACAATGTCAGCTGATTTTAGTAAGGCAATGCAAATTCCCTTCCTACAAAACAAAAATGTTAGATAGGTTAGTGTTCAATAGCATGACCAGTGCTGAAGGATGCTGGGAGTTATACTTTAATTATATTTAGAGAGTCATGAATTTCCCATGTCTTAATGGAGTTAAAGAATGGAGTTCACTTTCATAAGCTTTGTCAATGGCTATCAAATTAAATATCTTTAAAAGAGAGAAAACTGAGGGTCAATCAGTGAGTGGCTTCTTATTGTTATAACTGTTACCTCCTAAATCAGAGAGGCAGAGCTTGAGATATTACAGGAGCCTTACTTTTATGCCTTATGTCTATAAAATGTTTGTTTTACCACTGACAGAAAAAGATTGCTGGATCCAAAGGGATTTTGAACAACATATATACAAATGAATACCTAGTTAAAAATCTAAGTTTTCTTTCTGTTTTTGCTTGAACCAATGTGCTGATATAACTAATGTTCACTGTTGCAATCTCAGAGGCCATCTCATAATCTTTCAACTCTTTATACAGAGCCAGAAGATCCATTATTGGTTCAATTAACCCAATATTGGCTCTATTTTGTCATATACTAGTTCTTTGTAGCCCTCCCTGAGAATAGAAATGATGCCAAAGATTTGACATTACCTTTCTGCTCTGACAGCATAAGGGAAGGTGGATTGTATATATCCACATTGTATATATTCCTTCCTGAAACTGTTAAGCTCCAGGACCTGGATAAACTAATGCATTATATTTAGTCACTAAAAGTATGAAAGTCCATGAGTGCAATTCCTGGGAGGAGATTTGAAATTCTTAAATTAACATCTGGCTACTCATGTCTGAGCAGTGTCAATAAGGATGAAATCAGTCATATGGTGCCTCTTAGTGGTCAGTTTAATCAAGGATCCTGAGGACACAAGTGTTTTGAGAATTAACTGTGGCAATCCTAATGCCCTTCTGACAACGAGGTTGTAAAAAGGTAACAGCAACCAAATTCGGGGATCTCTTTGATTCCTTTTCCTGACCATGGATCCTCTGGGTTCAGGCTGTCCCAGCCATATGTTCTCTGCTCCATTCCTTGCCAGTCACTTGTCACTTAGAAGCAATTACTGCCAAACACATAGTGCGTCATTCTGTCTACCTGCATTGGATTCTTTTGTATATGTTTCTTTTGAAGCCAATATGCCTACTTGCAGGAGTTTCTAAGGAGTTTTAGCTTTTTCTGCAAGTACCTGAACTGGGCATCTGGCAGGCTACTGCAGAGAAACAAATTGTGATCTTGAGAGTTGTATGATACATTTTTCTGTTTCAGCGCAGGTCATAGTTTAACAAGGAGGCTGGCTGAGAATGGAAGAGACCACCTTGAAGATGATACTAGTGGAACAAAGAACGGAGACTAATGAGAAATTAAACTGTAATGGAAAAAATAATATCTCATCAAGCAGGTATGTAACATTTATTACCAACTTATAGTCTTTGCTTTTAATGTAAGTACGGTACTAAGAACTTGCTGTTTCCTGTATGATTTATTTTACAATAAAATCTGTTGAACTTAGTGGGGCTTATTTTAAATTGAATTTGCATAGGATGGGTTGCAAATCTCATTCAAGAACACTATCCTGGAATGGAATATCCAAATCACTAAGATTATTAGCCAATTTCAAATGTCTGATTATGAGTCATAACTAAATACAAAATGCTTTCAAAATTAATGAACGTATCAAAGAGTGAGGCAACCCCTCTCAATTTTATGACAGTTTTCCAAGAAAGTATAGAAATACAATTTTGTAACATTTAGAGGTGAAATACAGTAGTGTTACTGCTTGGAAAAGTAGATAGCAGTGGGAAAGATTTTTCAAAGAAAGTTTTCCAAAATACACACTGCAACCTAGTGTGAAGGTGATGGTATTAATCTATGTGGTTCCTCTTTCTATTGATAACCATTTTTTCTATCTCCTATAGGAAAATTTATATGGATTACAATGCAACTACCCCTCTGGCACCAGAAGTGATTGAGACAGTTAAAGAAGCCATGTATGAAGCATGGGGCAATCCTAGCAGTTCTTATGAAGCAGGTCTGATAAAAAATAATATGGAGGTATTTTGTGAAAGCATCTTTTTGGGGTACAAGCGTGTCTAATGGTAAAGGAGGGATCTAATTTTGAAGGGTTATTGGAGTGGTAGTTAAGGATTTATTAGAAGACTCAAACATTGAATGGTGAATCATTACAGCCTCCAGTCACTTCTAGCAGTAACTATGGAAAATTGAGATAGCCCTAGTAACATTTGGAATGTTTGCGGTTAAATTATATGTATATATACATGCAATACTGCATTTTTCTTTGTTTAAAAATAATACATGGGCTTGCTGCTTGGAAAAGATGGTAGGATGGCATGTAATGTTGCATGTGTATGTACATATACCGTGTTTCTCCAACAATACGGCCTCCCCCAATAGAAAGTCCCAGCATGCTTTATAGGCATAAAATCAAATTAAGCCCCTCCCCCCAAATTAAGGCCTATATTAAACATGTGAAATGGGGAATGGCAGGGGGGGACTGGCCGTTAGGAAGTACTTTTGTTGCATACCAGGATATGGTGCTGACTGCATTGACTTCGGCATTGGTGGGGCACTTCGTATCGGGAGACCTTCCACCGATGCTTTCCCTTCTCCCCATGCTGCCGCAGAGTTTAAAGCAACGCTGCAGCGTTTGGCACAGCCACGCGTGGCCAGCCAGGGCTCCTCCCTGTAACCGGCTTCAGGTGCTCCTGTCGCTGCCTTCCCTTTGCCTTCAAAGGCAAAGCCAATTTGTTTAAAAAACGACGCCCGACTACCAGTACGACAAAGAATCCCCTGCCCAAGAGGGCAGCCCAACCCCACATGGGGAGACGAATCTCCCGGGGCCGCAGCACAGGATCGGCCCATCCCAGGAGAAGCGTCCAGCCACCATCCCTGCCTGGCGCTGGGCAGAGCGCAAAGAGCTTCGCCTGGGGTGCCCAGCGCAGCTGACAGGCAGGACCTCCTACCCGGTGGCAGAGCTCTCCCCAAGGCAGCGAGCGCCTCCCCGCCGGACCCACCGCTCATGCTGCCAGAGCCATGCAGGCTGGGCAGAGCCAGGAAAGAGAGCCACGGGTGCGCGCCTGCCTGCCAAGCAAAAGAGCCGGACCGACCCAAGCTTGGCTTCCTTCCCAAGTCCCTCCAGCCCGAACCCAAAGGGTCCACTGGGAGAGGCCACCCGAGGCAGTTATAGTGCCCACCCATCCGTGGACAGGGAGGCAAGGCGATGGCCTGCGCCGTGTCCTCCGAGCTGAGCCCCGCTGAGTGAGCGCCTCTGCCCGATGCCCATGCCGCTGCAGCGTTTGGAGCTGCCAGCATGTTTGGAGATGCGTGGGGACGGGGACGAGCTGGGCGAGGGGTGGAAAGAAAGGGCGGCTTTGGGCTCTCTCGGCTAGACCCGCCAGCCAGGGAAGCAGCGCTGGGCGCCCCAGGCAAAGCTTTTTGCGGTCTGCCCAGCGCCAGGCAGGGATGGCGGCTGGGTGCTTCTCCCGGGATGGGCCGATCCTGCGCTGTGGCCCTGGGAGATTCGCCTCCCCACGTGGGGTTGGGCTGCCCACTTAGGCAGGGGAGTCTTTGTCATACTGGTAGTAGGGCGTCATTTTTAAAAGAATTGGCTTTGCCTTCGAAGGCAAAGGGAAGGCAGTGACAAGAGTGCCTGAAGCTGAGTGTCTCCACCAGGCTCCGGTTGCAGGGAGGAGGCCTGGCTGGCCAC